AATGGCTAGTCGGAACAGGGACGAAGGTCACAGATGAGAACTTTCCAGGCATGTAGATAATTTTCTTTTTCTGAAGGGAAAAATTAGATTTTTTACTTGAGAAGGTATTTTTTGTGTGTGGGGAGGGGGGGGCAGCATTTTCATGATAGATCAGTTTTGAGATGTTAAAGGACTAGATTATGGTCTGAGTATGGGATGATCAACAATAGTTATTTTCTCCCTTACTGACTAGATGATAAATCTTTGGGAACTAAGTTTGTTTCTGTGTACTGTCCTCCCCCCTTGTTTTTAAATTTGAGGATATTAAAGGGATAACAGAAGAATGTGTAGTTTGTCATTGCAGTGTAGAGTGTAGATGAATCTTAAGCATAATTATGAGAAATGGATAGATTTCTCATGGAAAACATTCTCTGACTTTGTTACAAACTTAGTGCAGGAAGTTTATAGTGAGAGTGTGATTTAATGTACTAACTAAATTGGCCTTTTATTCTGAAATCTTTGACTTTGGGATACTGGATTCACTTATTTTGGAACCATTGGAAAAGCCAGATACCCAATGTAGGGTAATGTTTATGAAATACAAATGTTTGAGCTCTTAGGATCATGTGTTAGACTATGCACCCTTGTGACATGTATCTTAATGTAATTTAATAAAATGTTATTAGAAAGCTAAGAAAAGGTGGACAGATGTGGCTGAAATGTATAATTGAATGGAGAAATGAACAGTCCTAGATTTCAGGGAGTGATAACTGCCCCATCTAAAGCTTGAGGGAGAAAATTTTGAACACACCAGTCAAGAATTGCTAATACACAGAACCCAGGTCATAAACCTGGAGATTTTTAGTAAATCTCAAAAAGGCATATAAGGTAAAAGAGAAGAGAAAAACAAATAGAAGAGGCTAAAACAAACACTGCTACCTTGGGAGCTGGTTAGTGCAGAACCTGTTAGGGTTAACACTAGGAATATTACTAGGGATTGTCACAGCAAATTTCCTGGGGGCCCCTGGAAATGACATTCCTGAAGCAGTTTTGCATGAGGACTACTTGGAGACTGCAGAGTGGGTTTCCAACAGGGCAATCTCCTTTAAAAATAGATGACTTGAGAAGAATCAAAAAGAAATGGGATCGCAGGCCCATAGCCTCTAGGGTTACAGTGCCTGAGCGGTGTCCTAGCTCTACCACTTAATTAACTTTACCATGCTTATTGCTTTTTCAGTAGATGGAATTGATAATAACTACCTCAGAAGGTTGTTCTGAGACCAAATATGTTAATTTGTACAATTCTTGAAGAAATTCCTGGTTCTCAAGTTCGCAGTGTTTGAGTCAACTCTGCTGACTCTTGGCTGCTGCTGGCAATTAATTGTATTAGAGTTCCAGCTGGGAAATTACTGGGTCTTATCAACTTAACTTATTAACCCAAACAGAAAGGTATTTACAAGACCAATTAAATAAGGGTCTTTAATTCTTTTATTGAATTATTACTAGGGAGTGCTAGCTTGAATTCATCCTTGACTTTAATTGTCACTGTGGAATGAATGCATCTCAAATATTGTTTCAGGAATGAAGCTAAGAGGTGAAAACAGGTATACTTCATTTATTTTTTATTTTTTTAAAAGATTTATTTTACTTTCTTGACAGGCAGAGCTAGAGAGAGAGGGAGAGACAGAGGTCTTCCATCCACTGGCTTACTCCCCAAATGACTGCTGTGGCTGGGGCTGGGCCAGGGCCAGGCTGAGGCTAGGAGCCAAAAACTTCATCCAGGTCTCTTAAGTGGGTGCAGGGAGGGGCCCAGGGACTTGAGCTGTACTTTGCTGCTTTCCTGGGCACATTAGCAGGGAGCCGAAACGGAAATGGAGCAGCTGGGACTCAAACCATGCCCACATGGGGTTCTGGCATTGCCTGCTGTCGCCACAGTGCTGGCTCCAACAGGTGTACTTTAAAGACTATTAATTATACAAACCATTGTGAGTTAATTTATTGAACATCTAATTTATGTGTGGCACATAAAGGTAGAAAGAGGTAGAAATAAAGGAGGAATATGGTTACTTATCATTTAAAATTTCCTGCCAGAGACAGTAAAAAGTTGCTGTAGTTACCCTTGAAGTAGAATTCTATTGGCTTTTTAAATTCGTAGAAAGCTAACTTGATTTTCTGAAGTTCTGCATATATTACTGCATTGACCTTTGTGTTTGTACTTAAGCACTTGCAAAGGATTATTTATAGAAGACTGTCTTTTGTTTACACAGTGCCAGTACTTGCAAAATATTCAGTATAACCTGTACATGCATTCCAGCTTTCTGTAAATACTTTGAGGATAAAAACATTTCCTTCAAAATTTGTGAAAATTTGAAGAATGGTTAGTATATTCCTTTAAAAAGATTTATTTATGTAAAAGACAGTGTGACCAGGGAAGAGAGTGAACCCGTACACATGCTGTGCTTGCATCCAGTTCATGCCTCAAATGTCTGCAACAGCAGGGGTTGGAACTCCATCAGATCATGGGAGTGTGCAAGTGGCAGGGACTCAAGTACTTGAGCTAACATCTGTTGCTTCTTCCCAGGCACATTACCAGGAAACGGGATAGCCAAGACTTGAACCAGTGCTCTAATATGGGATGTGGGTGTTAAAAGTGGCAGTTTAACCTGTTGCACAACAATATCTGCCTCAGCATATTTTGAAACAAATGCTTTTTTACATTGTTAATTTCTGAGGCATTTCTATCTAACTGTGAAACACACAAAATGCATTTTAGCTATTTGCCATAAACAAAGCTGTATGATTAAATGGTCTTGAGCATTTCTGGTGTGAATCTGTACCTAGTACAAGTAGGGTTTGATATTTTTTCTTTTTGTCTCCCTTATATTGGCAAATTAAGACATTGGAGATTTCAGAGGATTCAAAATGTTTATTTTTATGTGGTCATTTACATCTAATAATTTATTCTTATGTATACCATGCTATATACTCCTGTTATACTGTTTGTCGTGGTTATAGTAAATTAGTGTTGCTCATATTAATGTTGTTGCAAAGAATATACCAAATTGATAAATTTGATTTGTATAAATCTTTATTATTCCTTTATCAATGAAAGGAAAATATTAAGTATAGAAAGGAATGTTAGTACCCTGTTAGTACCCCTGGCTCTTCGCTGCCTTGACTAGGAGGTGAATTCTGATGTTGGTAAGGTAGTTTAAATGTATAAGTTTCACAGGAGGAATTATGGAAAGGTTGAATAGGATTGAGTTGAAAGGATGGAGAGACTTAGAAAGATTGACTCGAAGTGGCCAATAACATAGAATTGTTTCTTGGTAGATGAGCTAGGTTTTCAGTAAGACTGAAGTGCAGGTTCTTAATTCACAGTATACTTAACATCTCATGAATTTTTCTCATGGTACACCAGGCTGTAAGAAATAACTCAGGATTTCATTTATTAAGTAGTTGAGTCCTTGGAACTTAGTAAGTATTTATCCCTTTTTAAAGGAAAAAAAACTACACATAGCATTGAGACAATCTTTATTTCTTGTTAAGTCAGTGCCTGTGCTTGTTGAGCACTGTAGTCCCTCAAAGCTTGTGGTCAGATTGAAGGCTGCCATACTTACTTCCCATTGTACATGGATTTTTTGCCCACTTGGCTTTTTATCACAGCAAGTACCAAAAAATCTAGCTTCACAAATATGACATCAGAAGGAACATATGGTCTACTTGTGAAACTCTGAACTACCTTTCACTGTAGGTTCTGTTTGTCCTATATGTTGAATATGAAAAACAGTCACAGAAACTGTTTCAAACCTTTAAGACTAGAAACATATTTATTTCTCGCTAGATTTAGGTTATCTTTTAACATATTGATTAAACAATTTGCTGTATCTAAGTAGTGTATTCTGTTGGCTATGGATATGACTTGAGATTTTATAAAAGTAGTGTAAACCTGATATTGGAAGGACTGCAATGGGTGGCCCAGGGTAGGGAGGCGGGCTTGGGGTATTATACATAGGTTCCTCATCAGGAAGTGTTAATATTGGGAACAAAATGTCTTTGATTTTGTAAACTGCTTGCTTGCATGGTTCAGGGTCACTGGGAGTTGTCTTTACATAACTTCACATAATTAAGTAAATTGATAAATATATTGTAAACTATAGAGAGTTTCAGAAGTATTTATCCCTTATAACTTAAAGAAGTTAAATAACACAAAGGTTGTTTATATAAGGCAGATTAATGCAGCTTGGCTTTATTTAGTAGAGGCATTCAGATGTGAGTGAGTCGACTTGATTGTATTAATCTAATTTAAAAAATTTAAAGTATACCTTAACATAGAATCCATACATTACTTTTTATTCTTGCCATTTGGCCAGAACCATTTTGTTGAATAGGGGCCCTTTGGAGTTCCAATTTGCTACTAAGAGTCTGGTTGTTAAGCAGAATTAAAAAGTTTAAACACAGAAACACCCAGGTATTCTTTTTTTAAAAATTGAATAGAGTTTTTTGTAATCCTAGAAATTCAAACCTCTTCATGTTTTTGTGTGTGTGACTAATCTTTTTCTGATGTATACAACTTGGGTACGTATATATAGGAAAAAAATTGAAATCTATGCAGTTTTTTCATACTACACACTATCTATTAACTTTTTTTTTCCCGACAGGCAGAGTTAGACAGTGAGAGAGAGACAGAGAGAAAGGTCTTCCTTTTTCTGTTGGTTCACCCCCCAAATGGCTGCTACGACCGGCCTGGTGCAGATCCGAAGCCAGGAGCCAGGTGCTTCTCCTGGTCTCCCATGCGGGTGCAGGGCTGAAGCACTTGGGCCATCCTCCACTGTCTTCCCAGGCCACATCAGGGAGCAGGACTGGAAGAGGAGTAACCGGGACAGAATCCGGCGCCCAGACCGGGACTAGAACCCGGGGTGCCTGCACTGCAGGCGGAGGATTAGCCAAGTGAGCCAGTGTGCCGGCCAGGTCTTTATGGTTTTAATTTGCATTCTTTTTGTATGAAACTAAACACTTTTTTTTTTATGGAATGCTTCATGAATTTGCATGACATCCTTGTGCAGGGGCCATGTTAATCTATATTTCGTTCCAATTTTAGTATATGTGCTGCCGAAGCGAGCACAACACCTTCGTTTTTTTAGCAGTCATTTGTGAGATTTTTTTTGCATCAGATTATCATTTCTCTCGTGCTTCTGAAAGGATTGCTACCTGGTTGACAGGTAGTAAAGCACTATTTTAAAATGTGTCTCAGTTTCAAGAGATTAAATTTGACAAAATGTGCACTTCTGTAGAATTGACAAAATTTGTAGCTGGCTTTGTGCCCAACTTTGTGGTGTAGTGAGTAGAGCTGCCACCTGCAATGCTGGCATCCCATATGGGCACCATTTTGTCTCCTGGCTGCTCCACTGATGATCCAGCTTCCTGCTGATGGCCTTGGAGAGGCAGCAGAGAATGGCTCAAGTGTTTTGGCCTGTGCTACCCATGTGGGAGACCTGTAAGAAGTTTCTGGTTTCTGGCTTCTACCTGGCCCAGTGTTGGCCATTGCAGCCATCTGGAGAGTGAACCAGTGGGTGGAAGATTTCTTTCTCTCTGGCTTTTTCAAATGAATGTCTTTAAAAAATTGACAAAATTTGATAGCTTTTCATATTCTTTGTCCCATCATTCTATTGATTGGCTGTTCTTTTTCTTATAATTTATAGAAGCTCTTTTTTTTAAAGGTTTATTTTATTTATTTGAAAGAGTTACAGAGAGAGACAGAGAGAGACCTTCCATCCTCTGGTTCATTCCCCAAATGGCTGCAGCAGCTGGAGTTGGGCCGATCAAAACCAGGAGACGTGGGTGAGGGGCCCCAAGGAGTTGGGCCATCCTCTGCTGCTTTCCCAGGCACATTAACAGGGAGCTGGATTGGAAGTTGAGCACCCAGGACTTGAACTAGTGCCCATATGGGATGCTGGTGCTGCAGGTGGTGTCTTTACCCACTATACCACAGTGCTGGCCCCTGTAGAAGCTCTTAAAATCAGCATGAACTCCAGTTTTTACTTGTTTCTTGACTTTATGACACATCATGTGATACAGAAATTTGACTTTTGACTAGATATTTAATTACCTTTTCATGACATCTAGATTTATTGTCATGTCCTGCCCCAGATGGTTTTAAATAATTAAATCAATGTAACCTTTTATGTTTTAAACATCTTTGATCAATCTGGAATTTGTGGGAATGGTTCTTAGGTTCAGGATAGGGATTCAAGGAGTTTTCTCTTACTACTTCCCTTACCCTTGCACCAAATACCCTAACACATAATTATGGGGAATTGATTCCCTACATACACAGTATCTCCTGTCCTCAGATGTATTAGTGACATGAAACAAGTAACCCTATTTGCATTATCTCAGGAGTAAACAGTAATCTCCTTGTTAACTTCAACAGAGCTCTTGCTTCCTTTGACGCCACCCTCCCAAACAGATGGGTCACTGTTAAACAACAGTATTGTTGTGATAGTTACACCTTACTATTCCATTTCCCAGTCTTTTCTGTATACTCGGTAACTATTTGTTTCAACATGGAATCCTTGTGCACTATTTTTTAAGACCTCTTAATTAGCAAGTAAGCTTGGTCTGCGTAATCTCAGCAATTCGCATACTTATTTGAAGTTAGTATGTTCGGCTAGATCAAGTTCAAGTATTCATGGTATCTATGAATGTGACCTTATTTTAAGAATCTTGGAGATAAAATTAAATTTCACATGAAGGAATTCTAGATTTTTTTTTTTTTTTTTTTTTTTTTTTATTTTTTGACAGGCAGAGTGGACAGTGAGAGAGAGAGACAGAGAGAAAGGTCTTCCTTTTGCCGTTGGTTCACCCTCCAATGGCCGCCGCGGCCGGGGCATTGGGGGCGCTACCCGCTTTGATCTGATCGCAGGACCCAGGAGCCAGGTATTTTTCCTGGTTTACATTGGGGGTGCAGGGCTCAAAGCACCTGGGCCATCCTCCACTGCACTCCCCTGGCCCCAGCAGAGAGCTGGACTGGAAGAGGGGCAACCGGGACAGAATCCGGCGCCCGACCGGGACTAGAACCCGGTGTGCCGGCGCCGCTAGGCGGAGGATTAGCCTAGTGAGCCGCGGCGCCGGCCGGAATTCTAGATTTAAGGTAAGTCTTAAATCCAATAGTTCGCTGTCCTTGCAAAAAAAAGGCGAGGGAATTTTAGACACAAATGAGAGAGAAAAGAAAAGCCATGGGAACCTGGAGGCAGAGACAGGAGCTACAATGCTGCAAACAAAGGAATGACAAGCACTGTCACAGCCACCCTAATAAACTGAGAATCATGAATGGACCTTCTCTATCAGAGCCTCCAGGAGGAATTCACCCTGTCTATCCACTGACTGAAATTCCAGCCTCTAGAATTGTGAAGGAAAGTTTCTGTTGTTAATTCCAAGCCACTAAAGAAAAAGATGCCTGATGGCTCTGCTATACTGCAGATGTGGAAGGAAGGAAGGAAGGAAGTCACCCGATAGAGAACACAGGAAAGGCAGAACCAGGTGCTTGTGGTCCTATAGCAACCATAACACATTTCCTTAAGATTTACTAATGAGAGCCGGCGCCGTGGCTCAATAGGCTAATCCTCCACCTTGCGGCGCCGGCATACCGGGTTCTAGTCCCGGTCGGGGCGCCGGATTCTGTCCCGGTTGCCCCTCTTCCAGGCCAGCTCTCTGCTATGGCCAGGGAGTGCAGTGGAGGATGGCCCAGGTGCTTGGGCCCTGCACCCCATGGGAGACCAGGAAAAGCACCTGGATCCCGGCTCCTGCCATCGGATCAGCGCGGTGCGCCGGCTGCATCGGCGGCCATTGGAGGGTGAACCAACGGCAAAAGGAAGACCTTTCTCTCTGTCTCTCTCTCTCACTGTCCACTCTGCCTATCAAAAAAAAAAAAAAAAAAAAAGATTTACTAATGAAACACTGACCCGGGTTAAGTAAGGAGTGAGTCAGGACAATAAAGAATCACAATAATAAAACTGATATTTTATAACTTTGAAGTCCGGATAATGCATTAGTAAACAAAAATGTTTCAGGGTAGCCCAACTCTCATTTTACTGAGTAACCTGCCTATTTACAGTGTTTTCTGACAGTTTGGGGGTCAAGATTTACTTAAAAAGTCAATAGCATCATCTGGGAACTGATTCCAAATATAAAATTTGGGTGTCATCCCAAATCTGCTTAATCAGAAAGCTTCAAGGTGCTGATAACAATCTGCTCTAACAAGTTTTCTGGTGATTTTGGTGTTCATTAAAATGTAAGAAGCTCTAGTCTAAATTAAGTTAACCAAAGACAGTTTAACAGTGTGTGTGTGTGTGGTAAAAACACTGTTCAGTTTTCTAACTGACTGTTTAATTTAAAAAACCAAAAACCCAACATACTTTAAATATTTTTTTTTGAAATAGACACATGCAAATTACTACAGCTGATTCCCAATTGACATAACCAATTCACATTTGAAAAGCACAGTAATCTCCTGTAATAGTTACTTATAGTTGTGAATTTTTTTGAAACATCCCAAGTGTACAGTTCATAGTAAAATCACAAGTAAGGAATAAAGATCACAGAAAAGGAAGAATGTTTTTCTAAAATGAAAGCCAGAAAAAAATGTTTGAAATATTAAGACTGTATGTAGGGGTGGGCACCATGGCTCAGTTGGCTAATCCTCTGCCTGCAGTGCCGGCATCCCATATGGGCGCCGAGTTCTAGTCCTGGTTGCCCCTCTTCCAGTCCAGCTCTCTGCTGTGGCCCAGGAAGGCAGTGGAGGATGGCCCAAGTGCTTGGGCCCTGCACCCACATGGGAGACCAGGAAGAAGCACCTGGCTTCGGATTTGCACCAGGCCGGCCGTAGTAGCCATTTGGGGGGTTATCAATGGAAGGAAGACCTTTCTCTCAGTCTCTCTCACTGTCTAACTCTGTCAGATAAAAAAAAAAAAAGACTATATGTAGGTTATTGCTAGTTTTTTTTTTAATGATGTGTTTATTTATATGAAAGGCAGAGTTATATAGAAGAGACAAAGCTCTTGCTTTGAAACATCCAGCCTATGGTGGTGATGATTCATGCAATGTGCTGCACTATTGTTAACTATTGCATCGTAGTTTAATGGGCAGTGTTTTTCATTCCTGCTCTTACATGAACTAATGTTGCAATTAATACTCTTGTCTACTCTAGAAATGTGGTAGTTTATTTTTAAAATAATACCAAAGAAGAAGAAATAGTATATTAGTGGAGTAAAGATGGACTTGTTTGCCAAAAGTCTTACTAAATTTAGGATTAATTTTAGATGAAATAAAGAGGATTCACTGTTGTATACGGTGAATTTGTTGAACTTTCAGCTCCAACAGATGAGATTAGCCTAAAAAAATCAGTTCTATGAAAGATTAGGTTAGCCCAATCATGAAAAAGAGCCAAAGTGGTGAAATCATAAATGATGATTTCAGATATTTTTGTGCCAGTTTTAAATCTAAATAAAACTAAGACTTTCTGTTTAACTGAGTTGAGACTCAGCATTTTAAGGCATGCTGTGTTGTGTTTTGGTGCCAGACTAAGGGGAGTTGTTTTGTATTAGTGATGGCAGCAAGCCAAAGTGGAGTGCACAGGCGAGGTGACTTACCCACATAAACTACCCTTGGTCTGATTGTTTCATTTTTACCTGAATCTTGCATGTGGCCTAATTCCATATTAGCTGCCTTCTCTATGGTGGTTTTTAAGACTGGTTTTCATCTGTTTTTGATTTATGCATCAGTCTGATGTCCTTTGCTGTTTATCTTCCTGTTATGTGGCAGTATTTCTATAGTGTTGATGCTACCTTTCCCTTAGTCAGGAATTTAATCAGTGCTTCCTTAGGATATTTTCATGGGGGGCAAGGTAGGCTCACATTCTGTCGATTCTTTTGAACCAGGAGTTCATTGTTAGCTTTTAAGAAATTGTTAGTGCTTTTAAACAAAGTATGTATTTGTATCTGTTAACATTTCAGTGGTGTGATGCTATGAAGCAGCTTAAAGGAGTTTGTGGGTTTTGTTTTGCAGGTTGAAAACGGATTTGCTAAAAAGTTCTAAGAATTTCATTTATTTAAATGAGTAATTTTG